TTAATAATTATCAATATATTCATTACTCTCATGGCTGAATCATCAATAACCATTTTGATCAGTTAGTTCATTATTCATGATCATCCATAATAATCATTCATCATAATCATTAATCAACATAACAATTGATAACAAATAGCGGTCTAGTTTTGAGTGTTAACACTCTAACTTACCGTCATGCATCACATAATGTTTTATATGCCTAAAACATCATTTTTATTATACAAAATCATATTTGTATGGTTCATAATTAATTTTTATCAAAAATAGGATTTTAGAGCATATTTTCAGGAATATTTTCGTAGCAGGATCTGGAATTGAGGAAAATAATTTAAAATAATCATTTAATTTATAAAAAATTGATTTATATAATTTTTAATAATCCATTAATTCATAATAATCAATTTTTACAATTTAAATAATCAATTAATTCATTATAATCGATTTTTACAATTTAAATAATCAATTAATTAATTTTAATCGATTTTTACAATATAAATAATCGATTAATTCATAACAAATCGTTTTTTACAATTTAAATAATCCATTAATTCATAATAATCCATTTTTACAATTTAAATAATCAATTAATTCATAATAATCGATTTTTACAATTTAAATAATCAATTAATTAATTTTAATCGATTTTTACAATATAAAAAATCGATTAATTCATAACAAATCGTTTTTTACAATTTAAATAATCCATTAATTCATAATAATCCATTTTTACAATTTAAATAATCAATTAATTCATAATAATCGATTTTTACAATTTAAATAATCAATTAATTAATTTTAATCGATTTTTACAATATAAAAAATCGATTAATTCATAAAAAATCGATTTTTACAATTTAAATAATCCATTAATTCATAATAATCGATTTTTACAATTTAAATAATCAATTAATTAATTTTAATCGATTTTTACAATATAAATAATTGATTAATTCATAAAAAATCGATTTTTACAATTTAAATAATCCATTAATTCATATTAATCGATTTTTACAACTTAAATAATCAATTAATTCATAATAATCGATTTTTACAATATAAATAATCAATTAATTCATAATAATCGATTTTTACAATTTAAATAATCGATTAAATGGTACTGACTTCGAACCACTGATCTGAATAAAATTCTAATCGTTTTTTATAAGTAAATAATCGATTTTCGGCCACTGTTCATCATCTTCTTCCTGGGGTCACCAAACTTCAATTTAATTATATAAAAATGTTCTCCAATGTTCACAGATCATTTTAGAGTCATTAATTCGTAATTTTAACAACAATTTAGTTGTTTATGATTCTTGGTTCTTCAAACATGTCAAACACAAAACTCAACCAAACGACCGTTTATGAACGTAGAAACAATCTATATGAACATTCTAGTCACTAGATATATCTGCGGGCTTACCTCCAAGCTTATCGAAGGTTTTGAGAATTTTCCGGCAAAACTTCCGGCGACGATAACTCCCAACTCCGGCAACTTCGGTGGCAACCAACAATATCAGACTGCTCTCCTCACTCTTATGAACACAATGGTACTAAAATTGTAAGTTTTGGTCAAGAATGAGAACGTTGATGATACTCTTATATAGGGAAGGGAAGGAGAAGGAGACGTAGTTGCTGAGTCATTGACGATTCACGCTAGGCTTAGTGCGCTGGGAGGCGCCGTTCGCACAGTGTCCTGATTGGGACCAATTTTGGTTCCAGTCGGGATACACTTTTTGGTCCAACTTTCTCCGAATTAAAATCCGTTTGCACCGTTGCGATCAGACAGTCGAGCTCTATCCAACGATATAATTTTTATATTCATTCGTTATACTTTTTCTGACACCACATTTTTGGGTGTTTGACTTTAACAGAGTCAAAATTGGTTTAATTGACCTTTCTCATAAAAGGTTCTCTCATTTAATTCACATCAATTATTCTCATGATTTATTTCAACAAATCATTTCAATATTTACATTCCAAACAAATTCTTTATTTACTCTTGATTTGGGTCTGTACTCAGGTTCCCAATCAAGACCACACAAATAGTCCACATATTGGATTTTATCTCTATGAGACTTATCCAGATTTTGATATTAGATGTCAAAACAAATTTCATATCGGCCCAAAGCCCAACAATAATTTATTTTAATCAAAACAATTGTGATTAATTGATTATTTATTCATTAATAATTCTAGGGTATGTTTTGGGGCGTTACACCTTTCCTATTTTCATGTCTTTGGATGTAAAGTTTTCATTCATAATAATGGAAAAGATAACTTGGGAAAATTTGATGCTAAGTCGGATGAAGGAATTTTCTTAGGTTATTCTCTTCGTAGTAAGGCATATAGAGTGTTCAACAAGCGTACTAAGACCGTAGAGGAATCTATTCATGTTGTCTTTGATGAATTTTGATGCTCGCTTGGGGAGAAAAGGTATTGTTGATAATTTTGCAGGTTCTTATGATGATGATGAAGAAATCATTAAAGAAAAAGAACCGGAAGAAGAGAAAATGCGGGAACAAACGGAGCTTCCTAAGGAATGGAGAACATTGAAGAACCACCCGATTGACAATGTCATTGGTGACATAACGCAGGGAGTTTCTACTCGTAATTCTCTTAGGAACACAATTAATCACATGGCCTTTGTTTCACAAATTGAACCTACAACTGTTTTGGATGCTATTAATGATGAACATTGTGTTAGAATAAGTGCACTTCACTAGAGGGGGGGTGAATAGTTAGGCACAAGAATGTTTGTAAATTTTTGTGGAATAAAAATTGCAGGGATAAAGTAAAGAGCGGAATAAAAAGGAGTAAAGGGAGCACACCAAGATTTATACTGGTTCACCACAACGTGTGGTTAGTCCAGTCTCCCGAGAGACTCTCTCGAGCTACACTACTTCCGTTAAGCTTACGGGTGCTTAACAAACCGTTACAACCTGAGAACTCGAGTCCCACGAGCCTCAATACACTTGCTCGGAGATACCGCACTCCAAGACTTCAACCCGAAGGAAAATACCTTTCCTTCGTACAACCAAGGGAAATAAGCTTCCCTAAACGTGTTTACAACACTAAGAACACTCAAGAACAAGACTCTCTTTAAGAGTAGATGTTGAGTAAACTATATACGCTCAAGAACAACTCAAACTTCACAAATTGGCTCTAGAAAGCTATGGAAAATGATGTTGTTTGAATGGAATGATAATATGAATAATGTGAAGTGAATTGATGTTTAAAGCAGACCCAAACACCCCTTTTTATAGTGCCAAAGTAGGCTCCAACAGATCAAAACATTTAAGGGGTTATTGGCTTGATTTATGGGATTGAATAAATTTGGGATCTGCAAGATATTGGCTTCCCATAGATGTTTGGACTCACCCATCGCTGGTAAGCCAATTTTCCTTCAGTTTTGAAGCCAACGGTGACCTACCCATAGATGGGTACAAGCTTCCCATCGCTGGGTGGGAGGTTGACTTCCAAATAAGGAAAGAATCAACCTTAAATGACTTCCAACGGTCATGCCTTCCCAGCCATGGGTATGCCCTCCCATCGCTGGGTTCCCATCGATGGGTAAAGGTTCCCATCGCTGGGTAAGGGCATTCTGCCTTGTGAAAATGTTGGACCAAGGCTTAAACAGCGATGGGTAGAACTTCCCATCGCTGTTTGGCATGGTTCTAGAAATCAGTTGGGCTGAAGGCTGCTTACCCATCGTTGGGTAATATCTCCCATCGCTGGGTGGAATGATTCTGGAATCCCGGGATCACTTACCCATGGATGGGTGATATCTACCATCGCTGGGTAGATGGCTAGCCCAGAACCATAGCCTAGCTGACCGGCACTAAAACCCGACCGAAAAATGCAAGGTTCTCCAAAGTAAAAACTAAGTATATAGAACACTTATTTAATGTATTGTGATGTCAAAACAAGCTTTGTAAGTTGAAAACCACGTCCTTAAGGTAAAAACCACGATTGACCAAGTCAACGCCGTACACGGGTGGTTTTTACCAAAAGACAAAACCGAAAGGTGGTTTTCATGATGTTTTGATTGGAGAACCATTTAAATTCATTCAAAAACAATTCCCACACAAAAAGACTCGAAAACCACTTCATTTAAGTAAAAACCATGGCTAGTCAAGTTTATGCCATTTCGCATGGTTTTTATCAAACGACAAAAAACGAAAGGTGGTTTGTGAAGTGTTTTTGATGGAAAACTATTTAAATGTTTTCAGAAGTAAAAACCAATTATAAAAAAGTTGAAAACCACTTGGTTGGTTTGGACGCCAAAAACCAACGCCGATAACCGAATGCCGAACGCCAGTTTCTGAAAGCCGAACGCTGGTTTCCGAAAGCCGAACCCCGGATGGCTTGGTTTTTGGTTTGGGCGAACACCAAGTGTTTTTAATATGTTTGAGCATGTTTGAAAATAATTTTGATGATATGTAAAATGCAATAAAAAAGTTTTAGCCTAAAGAGCCAAAGTGCAAAGCTTGAGTCGGTCTTGATCACATTGTGACCGACTCAACGACGCTAAAGACTACGGTCTTTGTTCTTGGTCTCTTTTAGCTCTTGTTCTCTTGCTTTCTTCTTATATTTATTTCTCGCCTTGTATATTCAATAACTTGTCTCGTTCACGGCGGTTTGGCATTATCAAAACCTGTCATAAAAATGAACACGGCTTTAGTACGAAAAAGCGATAAACCCGTGTTTCAACACATCTATGGCAATGCAAGAGGAGCTTAACCAATTTAAACACAATGATGTTTAGGAATTGGTGCCTAGACCTAATGATCATTCCGTTATTGGCACAAAATGGGTGTTTCGTAACAAACTCGATGAAAATGGAATAATCACTAGAAACAAAGCTAGGCTTGTAGCTAAAGGCTACAATCAAGAAGAAGGCATTGATTATGAAGAAACTTATGCACCGGTTGCATGTTTAGAAGCTATTCGTTTATTGCTTGCATTTGCATCTACAATGGATTTTAAACTTTATCTAATGGATGTTAAAAGTGCCTTCCTTAATGGTATCATTCAAGAGGAAGTGTATGTCGAACAACCCCCGGGTTTCGAAGACTATGAGTTTCCCGAACATGTCTTCAAACTCAAAAAGGCGCTTTACGGTCTCAAACAAGCACCTCGTGCTTGGTATGAACGGTTAAGCAAATTTCTTTTGGACCATGAGTTCAAATGGGGTCAAGTCGATACTACTCTTTTTATCAAGAAAGATAACCAAGACATCCTTTTGGTTCAAGCTTACGTAGATGATATCATATTCGGTGCTACTAACGAGGTTTTGTGCAGGGATTTTTCCGATATGATGCAAACTGAATTTGACATGTCGATGATGGGAGAATTAAAGTTCTTCCTTGGGCTGCAAATTAGACAATGCAAAGAAGGAACATTCGTGTGTCAAACGAAATATTGTAGGGAATTGCTTAAAAGATTCGATGTTACCGAATCCAAATCCATTGACACACTAATGAGCACCTCTTGTTGTCTCGACAAGGACGAAAAAGGTAAAGAGGTAGACATCAAGCGCTACCGAGGTATGATCAGCTCTTTACTTTATCTTACCGCGAGTAGACCGGATATCATGTACTCCGTTTGTATATGCGCTAGGTATCAATCATGTCCTAAAGAGTCGCACTTGGTTGCGATCAAAAGGATAATGCGATATCTCGCGGGCACGTTGAACGTAGGTCTTTGGTATCCCAAAGGTTCAACATGTCATCTTGTTGGCTATTCTGACTCGGATTTTTCAGGTTGCAAACTCGATAGGAAAAGTACCAGCGGTACTTGCCACTTATTCGGTCATTCGTTAATCTCGTGGTTTAGTAAGAAGCAGGTTAGTGTTGCACTTTCCACCACCGAAGCGGAATATGTCGCTGCGGGAAGTTGTTGTGCCCAAATTCTTTGGCTAAAACAACAACTAGTGGATTTCGGCCTTATACTTGATCACATCCCTATTAGGTGTGACAATATGAGCGCTATTAGTCTAACGAAGAACCCCGTTCTTCACTCAAGGACTAAACACATAGAAATCAGGCATCACTTCATACGAGATCACGTCCAAAAGGGAGATGTGTGTTAACTCAAACAACTTTGCTTTGTAGTTAACCGTCTGTAAAAGTGCTTTGGGGAATCATCCCTCTCAAAGAAGGTGTAAGCCTTGCTTGAACCTTAAAACCTATAGAGATACTTGATTAGGTAAGAAAAATAACTGATATGATTAAACTCGCAGCGAGGCGCGATAAATTCTTTTTTGCAGGTATCTCTTCCCTTGATATTCAACCGAATTGGACTTGATGATTTTTTTCTGTCAAACAAGTTTTAATCGATTACTCCTCGAAGAGAAATCGATTAGTCGCCTCTGTCCCTCTTAATCGATTACTGGACTTTTGTTAATCGATTAAAATCCGAAACCTTTTTTTGCTCTGCTTCATTTTAAATCGATTAATTTGGTTAAATTAATCGATTAGACTCATCTGTCCATCTTAATCGATTAACCATCTTTGTTTAATCGATTAATAGCTTGAAACGCAAACGTTTGGTTCTGATCCACTTCTAATCGATTAATAAGTTTAATTTAATCGATTTGCCTCGGCTGTGTTCCTTAATCGATTAAATACTTGTTTTTAATCAATTAATATTCGATTTTTGACCTTATATCACAGCCAGTCTTTGCCTTCTTCGCCATTCTCTTTTTTGCGAATCAGAAACCCTACCTCTTTCCCTTCTCCGTTTTCATCAAAAACTTCTCAAATTTCTTCCATTTTCTCACCAAATTTCATCAATTTCAAAGAGGAAGGATGCTAAGGTGCAAGAACCCTTCATCGCATCAAGAATCGGCGGCAGAAGAGGGTGAGAGGCCATGGCGTCGTGAAGGGAGCAAATACATCCACATACAAACCGAACTCGCCTTCAACACTGGGGCTTAAGCCGAGAGGTTCCACAACATCTTCCTCACGAAGGAGATCGTCTCTCCTAAGATCGTGAACAAGGACCTCTTCAAATCGGCGACCTATGCCCCGAGTAAGTCTCTTTTCTCTCAGCAAGGTTTGCTTCGTTTCATTCATTTGACGTATGAATTCTTTTGTCCAAATCTTATACGTCATTTTTATGCAAATCTTCGTACCACTAAGGGAGACTCGCCATCTCTCATTTCCTATGTTGACGGCAAAACCGTTTTCATTGACGGTGCCGGTTTGACTTCTCTGTTTGGCCTTCGTCAAGGTGAAATTACCGAAAACTTGGATGAAACATTCCAAGATGAGGCAATTTGGCGACAACTCGGGTTAGATCACCGTGACCTCAAGTTTAGAAATTCTAGCAACCCGAGTGTCATTAATCTCACTTTAATTCAGAGTGTCCAACAATACATCTTCTCCTATGTCTTGTTGCCACGTGATTCGAACCATGGCGTGGTCAACAAGGACGATATTCGTTTGTTTCACGTCCTGTTGAACGATGTCTTTTTTGATTGGGTTCACTTCTTTATTGTTGCACTTAGCGATGGCACTCGTTTTTCCCATCTCCGTTTTGCCATCCCCATTATGCATATCCTTGCTCATTGCAAAATAGACTTTACTCGGGACACTCAGGTGCCGGTCAAGAAGACTTGTTTCATCACTGAAGCCAAGTTTTTCCGGATCTGTTAGAATAAGAGACTAACGCTAGAGGGGGGGTGAATAGCGTTTGATCAAAAATCGCAGGAATAAAAAATGAATAAACAAGAAGTAAAGAGAAGAGTAAGAGGCACACCGATTTTACCCTGGTTCACCACAACTTGTGGCTAATCCAGCCTCCCGAGAGACTCTCTCGAGCTACACTACTACCTCGTTAAGCTTAACGGTGCTTAACAAACCTGTACAACTTGAGAATTCGAGTCACACGAACCTCAACGAACCTTCGAAGGAAACAGCCCTTCCTTCGAACAACAAGAGAAATACCTTCTCTTGTTAAGTGTTTAAGAACAATAAAAACACTCAAGAACAATACTCTCTTTTAGAGTCGATAATGAGTAAACTAAGAACGCTCAAGAACACAACACAAGCTTCACACAAAAATGGCTCTCAAAAGCTATGAATAATTGAAGAATGATTTGCAATGAAAGAGTAGGAGTTGTGAAGTAATGTGATATATAAAACAGACCCAAACACCCCATTTTATAGTAGAAAAATAGGCTCCAACGGACCAAAGTATTTAAGGGGTGATTGGCACAATTTGTGGGATTTGATGAAATTTGGATCTGTTGAAATTCACCCAGACAGCGCTGTCCTAGGCTTGGACATCGCTGTTCTAGGCTTGCGTTTTGAAAAATGGGAAGCAACGGTCATGCCAACAGCGATGTCTAAAATCCCTATATCGCTGTTTTGGCCGATGTCAAAAATGTGAGTTCTCCAAAATAAAAGCCAAGTATTGAAAAAGTTTGTTTAATGCATTTTTCTAAGAAATCAAGTAAAACATTTTGAAAACCACGTCATTTAGTTGAAAACCACGGCTAGCCAAGTTTACGTCGTTTCGCATGGTTTTCACTAAGCGACCAAAACGAAAGGTGGTTTTTGAAGCGTTTTTGTTGGAGAACTATTTAAATATGCCTAGAAGTAAAAAATAATCATTAAAAGTTGAAAACCACTTGGTTGGTTCGAGCGCCAAAAACCAATGCCGATAACCGAAAGCCGAACGCCGGTTTCCAAAGACCGAACGCCGGATGGCTTGGTTTTTGGTTTGGGCAAACTCCAAGTGTTTTCAGGCAGGTTTAAGACTTACGAAAATCATTTTGAATATGCAAAAAATATTTTGATGAAATGAGCCTAGAGAGCCATGTTTTGAAGGTTTGTGCCGGTCTTGATCACATTAAAACCGACTCAATATAATTCTAAGTCTTCGTCCTTGATTCTTGGTTCTTGGTTCTCAGTTCATCATGTCGTGTTCCTTCGCCTTGGTTTTGCTCAGTTTAACCTTGTTATTGTCACGGCGGTTTGGCATTATCAAAACCTGTCATAAAACGAACACGGCTTAGTACGACATAGGCGTAAACCCGTGTTCCAACAATTTTCCCCTTTTTGATAATGGCAAACAAGACGGGAATATGCATACTAAGGTATATTTGACTTTGAAAAGAGTGAAAAAGTTCCCCCTTAATTTGTGCTTAAAAAACAAAGAAATTGTCATATTAAAATCAAACGATCCTCTTTTTAGGGACGTTCCCCCTTAGTGTATGCATAACCCTTTTCTTTCCCCTTTTGACATTAACAAAAAGATAGAGGATAACTTTTATTTATTGAAAAAGGGAAATAGCGGAGTACAACGAAAGCATTAAAAAACAGGATAATTAAAATAAAAGAGAGAAATTCTAGGGGCGTCCTAGTCTTCGTCTTTGGTTTCCTCCTCCTCGTCGTCGACGTCCATCTCATCACCGTCAACAGCGTCGTCGAACTCGTCCTCGTCCGGGGAGCTTGACGGGTCGTAGGAGGCATCGTCTTCGTCCTCGTCACCGTACACCTGCCCATAGAACGTGCCATGGTACGGTGGGGGGACGTAGTTAACGCGTTGGAAGTACGCGTTCATGGCGTACCCTTGGCGTTGGACCGCCTCGTCAAGTCTTTCAAGGTAGCCATCCATCCCATCAACTTTGAAGTGCAACCGGTTGAGGGAGTCAGCAATGGAGGCAAGGTTGACCCGGGGCTGGGGTTCGGCTGGGCCAGCAGCAGAACGGGGCCGTGGCACGGCAATGGCAGGTCCGACGTTGTCCGACCGCTTCTTGAAGGTTTGGGTGCTGATCGCCCAAATCTTCGTGGCCTTAGTGAGTGGGCCAACGGTGGTGGTCACCTTGAACCGTTCAAGGATGTCCATCACCACGAACGGGTACGGGAGGAGGTGATCGTGGTCGGTGGACGCGGCAATCGTCATGTTGATCATGACAAACTTTGCCCAATTGATTGGGGCCGAGTGCATGATCGCATGGATGAGTTTGAGGTCCTCAACGGACATGATTGTGTGGCCATGCTTCCGGGGCTTGATGATTCGGGACACGATGTAGAGAAGAAGACGGCCTTCGGGGTTAGCGGAGTGGATGGTGGGGCGGCCCGAGGCATGGCGGATGAGCTCGGTGATGCCAAGCTCGTTGAGGATAAGGCCCTCGTTGTTGAGCACCCAGTCTTCTCCGCCATAGTGGGAGACGTCGTCGCCTTGGTAGGGGAGGCCGGCGATACGCCCAAGCTGCTCAATTGAAAGCTCTATCGGTGTGCTCTTGACAAGAGAGTAGAGCACGTCTCCCTCACGCCGGAGGTTGGAGTAGAAGACCCGAATCAGCGCCGGGTTGATCTCTTTCGAGCCCGGGAGACGAAAGGCCAAAGGCCAGCCTGATGAAGCTGCGCGTCGAGGTCGTCGTAGCCCTGCAGCTCCGGGTAGCGCTCCGGGATGATCCGTGGAGGAGCCACAACCCGTTTAGAGAAGAAGGTGAGGAAACGGGTGCGTTCCTCCTTGGAATCAAACCAAAGGTATGACCCGTCACCATAGTAGAGGCGTTCCTCGGTGGATGTCGTAGGCGCCCGGGATTTGGACTTAGTTTTCCCTGAGGTGGCAGCCCTGCTCTTGTCCTTGCCCATGAAAAGAAAACTCAAGAGAAAAGAGTAGAGATGATGAAATAAGCAAAGATGTTGAAGAGAATTGTGTTTGTGTGGGTAAAAGTGAAGAGAGGAGGTCCCAATTTATAGAGAAAGAGGTCTCCAACGTCCAGATTTTCAAAAATATGGCTGTTGGATCAATTAATGCTGGTGCCAACAGATATTTTTTTTTGAAAAATTTATCGAGAACAGCGATGTTCCAAAGGCTACATCGCTGTTGGGACATCGCTGTTATGCGTAAAGTTTTAAAAAACAAGTGTTAAATGGACAGCGATGTTGGGTTCCCTACAGCGATGTTCCTAATCATTCTGGAATTGTGTAAGGGGTTGAACCCATTAGAACAGCGCTGTTGGGTTTCTCTACATCGCTGTTTTACGATATAAAAAAATTTGTAAAAGTGGACATCGATTTTGAAAGTGGGACATCGCTGTTTAAAACATTTCTGGTTTTGGTTGAAAACAAGGTGTTTTGGGTGGACAACGATGTTTTAGGAAGGAACATCGATGTTCAAAAAGTTTCTGGAAAGTGAAGAGTAAGGGACTCCCTGGGACAGCGCTGTTGAGGTCTTGTACAGCGCTGTTGGCAGACTTTCTGGTTGACGGTGTTTTCCTCAACAGCGCTGTTTGGTCTCCTGGACAGCGCTGTTTGCATGGTTCCCCCTGATTTCATGAACGGGGTACCTGCAAAAAAGAAAAAAGTTCTCCGATGCTCAAGTTAGTAGGCGTTTAATAAGTTTAGATGCATAACTTAGATCATCGTGGAGTCAAGGATTCTGAGTTCACTTCGAATGCGGAAAAATGACTCTTTCTCTAAAGGTTTTGTGAAAATGTCGGCTAATTGGTTGTGTGTTTCAACAAACTCAATTTCAACATCACCTTTGAGAACATGATCTCTAATGAAATGATGCCTAATGTCAATGTGTTTCGTCCTTGAGTGAAGAACGGGGTTCTTCGTCAAGCTTATGGCGCTAGTAGTATCACAACGAAGAGGGACGTGATTGATACTAAGGCCATAGTCCACGAGTTGTTACTTCATCCAAAGAATTTGAGCACAACAACTACCGGCGGCTACATATTCCGCTTCGGTTGTGGATAACGCAACACTGACTTGCTTTTTACTAAACCATGAGACTAGAGAGCTACCAACTAAGTGGCAAGTCCCACTCGTACTTTTACGGTCTAATCTGCAACTGGCAAAGTCCGAGTCGGAATAGCCAACGAGATGACAAGAAGAGCCTTTTGGATACCACAGTCCAACGTTTACCGTGCTGGCAAGATATTTCATAATCCGTTTTACCGCCGTTAAGTGCGATTCCTTCGGACACGATTGATACCTTGCGCAAAGGCAAACGCTAAACATGATATTTGGCCTACTAGCAGTAAGATAAAGAAGGGATCCGATCATACCTCGATACTTTTTGACCTCTACTTCCTTACCTTTCTCGTCTTTGTCAACATGATCAGACGTGCTCATCGGGGTCGCCATGGCTTTGGCGTTGTCCATTTCAAACCGTTTTAGGAGCTCCTTGCAGTATTTAGTTTGGCAAATGAACGTGCCATCTTTCATTTGCTTAACTTGGAGTCCCAAAAAGAATGTGAGCTCGCCCATCATTGACATTTCAAATTCGCTAGTCATTAGCGTTGAGAATTCCTTGCACAAAGACTCGTTAGTAGCACCGAATATAATGTCGTCTACATAAACTTGA